TATGCTGCAATTTTTAGGCTTGTAGCCAGAGTCAGTTGACCCAAGCGCTGAGACTTAGTGCTGTAGGGTTCTTTACTGTAGTGTAGAGGTACCCAAATGAGACCTGCACACGCATGGAGAGGAGAGTCAAGGTTCACAGATGCAGTATTTTGCCCTAACTCTAGCCATATGTTTTGGTTAATGCCTGGTTTTGACAGGTTCTGGTAATGCAACTCATTTCAGTTTGGTGCCACAGTGGGGAGTGGGTTTTAGCATCTCTGTAGATTTTGTTTTTTAATTCACCTGTCCACACAGTGAATGTGTGGGTTAAGAATAAGAGAATCTGAATTCCGAAAGTCCCACTTTAGTTTAGTTACAAGGAGAGTTTCAATGTGTTCTGCTATCCCATGAGTGTACTTCCTCCTACTTGCTCTCTATGCCCTTGAAAGGGAGGGAGCCCCTAGAGATTCCCTCTGCTCACTCAGTCCCAAGTCCATTTTAGTAGCCAGGCATAGAACTGAATGGAAGTCACATTCTTTCTTTTGTGCTTTCTGCTCCAGAAGGCATTCTTCTATTTCAGTGGTAGCGAAATAGCTTTGAGAGCAAATTGGGGGAAAGGGAGAAATATCGAGACAGAGAGAGAGAGACACACACACATTATGTTTCCATTTTCCTTTAATGAAGGCCCTGTGGAGGTGTATTTGAAAACACAGGGTCTCCTATGCCTTCAAGGAGGGTGAGAACACTCTCTTGGCTGGTTCCAGGGCCATATGCAGTGTATGGTGGGCCAATGAAATGGGGCCTGGCTCATTCTTTTGCTTGTCTTGGCAGCCTGCTTCATGGCTTGTATTACCAGCTCTGGAACGCAACCACTGCCAAACTCTGTGTGTGTGTTTCTGTGCGCGCGCATGTGCACGATCACTGAGAGCACAGAAGAGACAAATGCTTCAGCAACTCAGATAGAAATTTTCATGCAAGTTTCAAGAAACATGCTAAAAATTCTGATCTGGAGGCCTTTGCCAGAAGTCTGCCTTGGGAATTTGCTAGTTAGTTCTTACATGGGGATGTCTAGGAATGCCACTTGTTTGAGAGCAAATTCTTAGTCTAACTCCCACAAATTAAAAGAGAAATACCCATTTATAGGGTGGGTAGGTGTTGTGCAGGGGCTGCAGTCCAAATCAGCCCTGTTCAGAGCACCAATTGGCTGTCCCAGGTTTACTTGCAGTGTAGTTGTAGCTGTATTGGTCCCAGGATGTTAGAGAGACAAGGTGCGTGAGGTAATGTCTTGTATGGGGCCAACTTTTGAAAGTTATCACCTTACCCACCTTGTCTCCTGGGGTTATTTGGCTGTTTGGGGATTTAACAGAATCCCAAGAAATGAAGTGCAAACTGCTGTCTCTTTCTGTGGCTCGTCGCCTTGTGCCCTTAAAGCCCCTATGGATATATCTGCGCCTTTCACACAATCTAGTATTCCCCTCCTCGCAGTGTTTTGAGGTCCTGTGTTATGGCCCCTGCTAAAGAGGAGTAAATAGCAAAACTGATGGATATGGGGGGGGGTCCTAACTAGCCAATATCAGAATGGGCAGCTTTGAGCCTGTACAATTGTTCCTCTCACCTCCTTTCTCCCCCACACTCTAGGCTGAGTTCGCTGCTCCTGCTGCACTTCAGTGGCTGGATATCCAGAAGAGTTCAGTATGGTGCTAAGCTCTTTTGAGATTCTGGCCCTTAGTATAACCATGAGAGGTGTGCAGGATGTTGAGTACTTTTGGAAAATCTGGCCCCAAATCTGCTGTCCTGGAGAGTGAGACCTGTAGTGCACAGCACTAGCCACTGTGTTCGGCTACACGGTTCCTCCTTTGGCATTAGAGCAACCCACAGAGGAAAAAGGGGGTGTGGAGTTCCATCTATCACTGACTGGTCTAATGGATTTCCCAGTTGCCTTTAGTGTTCAGAATATTGATCCAAACATCGAAGGATAATTAACCTGCAGCCAGACAACCTAAGGGTACGAATGGGCTTGTCTGCTGAGCAGGTTGAGTATAAACTGACTAGTGCTGGTCATTATTTGGATGGGAGACTTTTAAGGAACACCCCAGGGTTGCAGGAAGTGTTTTGAAGAATATGTACAGGGCATTCTCCTCTCTAGTCAGTGCTGATCCTAGGTCCTCAGTGCAGTGCTAGATGGTGCTGGGCTGCTGGAAGTGCCAGCCTTTCTGATGAAATGTCTTTTAAAAATAAACTCCAGTTCTGACCACTTGTGGTCGTTAAATGTTCCAGGGGATTTTTCACAAGAGTCAGGTTGTTAGCCTCAGTGTCCAGATCTAATTCCAGCTGAGATCATTACTCTTTCCCTCCCTAAATTCCCCCAGCTGTTTCAGTTGGAAATAAGATGGTTCTTATCTTCGTGTCCTAAACTGCTTGTAGCTGTGCATTGTGGTGTTAAACATCTGTCCTGTTCCACTCCAGAGATGATGATGATTTGTATGTGGTAGAGCCTAGGTGCCCTAGTCACTGACCAGAACCCTGTAGTGCTAGACATTGTACAAACACAAAACAGAAAGACAGCCCCTGCCCCAAAGAACTCACAAGCTAACTAGACGGCTGCGTAGCAATGGTGGAAGAGTGTGAGCTTGATGTATAACTTGTTTAGTAGTTTAAAGCTTGGGAATCATTGGGATGGAAGTTGCTAGAGAAATAGGAGGAACAAGAGCTGATTGTTTAGCTCATGGCAGTTAAGGGTTTACTTTCAGATTAGTACATGTGATGGACATGGTAGGGAAGAATCCTTGCGGGGGGAGGCAAGGAGGAGCCATATGATATGATCTGTATCCAGAGCAAGGGATGCCACATGAAGGGGACTGATAACTACCAAGTTAGAAAGCAGTAGGGATGGTTGCTGTGGGAGGGCTTGTGCTTTTGGAGAGCTCTAATGCAGCAGCCCTGAGCTGTAGTTGGGGGTTTAGTGTTGAACTGGGCATGTCTGACAGGTGGAGGGCTGATGGGTCACTCCCAGGGGATGGCTGCTCCAGTGGGCTCTGCCGATGGCTGAGCTTTACCTCTGTGGATTTGTAACAAATGTTCTCTTTTAAAAGGTCCTGTTTGCAGCAGCATTGGAGATAACATTCCCAAGTGCAGCCCAGGGGCACTGGAACAATTTGTATAGTGCGGGTGCTGAGAGCCATTGAACCAAACAGTAAACCCTGTATATAATGGAAACCACTTCAAGTCAGGGGGTGCTGCAGCACCCCCCGCACCCCTAGTTCCAGCACCTACTGCAGCCCAAGAGGCTGGGCTGGGCAGCATGGCCAAGCAGTGGGGCTTTCTGCTGAGCGGTGGGACTGGGGAATAGCACTTTCTCTGCTGGGGAGTCTCTCACTGATAGGGAGGAAGGGGTGGAGCTGTCTCTCTGATGGGGTTTGAGGGCAGCCAGTGGATCTCTCACTCACACATCAAGGAGTGGAGGCAGACAGCAAGGCTGTTTGCTTGGATTCGTGCTCTAGTAAAGCCTTCATAAAAAGCCCAAAGGCAGAGCTGTCTCTCTGTGAGACTCTTGTGGTATTTCTGCCATCTGTGTGAAAATAAACAGAAGTTCAAGGCAGAGCCAGACCCTTCCCACACCGGAAATGGGCTCTGGCTTCTATCTCCTGGGGAGCAATCCCCCTCAGCTACTTTGTCTCACTGCCACAGTCATCAGGGCAATGAGGGTCTATTCCTTGGGGCCCAAGAATTCTTGAACAAGGCATTGCAGGGAAGGGTGTTTATAAAGTCTGCTGCATATGACTATTCACATTCTATCCTCTTGCAAGGGCATCTGCGTGGGTGTCTCTGGGAAGGGCATTGATGCTGCTTCTTAAGCCAGCACAGATCCAGGGTCTGACTCTAGGAGTTGCTTTTCTGACTCTTGCTGGAAAGTCTGTTGCCCTTATAGGTAACTCGTGCAATATTAGGCATACAGAAGCTGCCATATTGCAGCAGACTCCTGGTTCAGCTACCTGGCAGCCTGTCTCTGACAGTGACTTATAGCGCTTCTACTATATCCTTGGTAGAGAGAGGGGGATTATTTCCTGAGCTGTCCCAGCTGGTGACTACCTTGAGAGCCCAGAGCGCCTTTGCAGTTTTGTCTTAGCTGATGTCCTACAGCTGATTTCTTCGATGCACTAAACATACTTGACTCCTTTTCATCAGGAAGATCCACTGATTTAATACAGAGCACACAAAAGGTCAGTGGCTTCCATTAAAATTAGCATTTGCCAGTACCTAGCACACCATAGGATGCAACTGCAGGTCTTGGAGACTGCTGTGTTTTGGTTACTGGCAAATAATTTAATGATGGCCACTGTCTGTCATTTTACCAATTTAGACTGCATTTCTGTGGCATTCTTCTGAGCATTCATTACCCTGCAGTCCACAAGAGATCTAAGGTTTAAAGTTATTGCTTTTTAAAGTAACGTGCCTTCTTGTGCTTGTATTGCAGGACTAGGTAAATAATACCGGGCCTTCTATAAACCATTTATTTGAAATATATAATATACTGCATTCATGATGAACAAAGTGAGGAACAGTTGCATGGGAATATCGGATAACAGAAGGAAAACTCTATTGCATGCTAAGGCACTCAGCGTATTGAAAGCTTAGTTTTTGCTTAATTTCTATAAATTAATAACATTTAACATAGCAATTTCCTGGGGCCTATCCTTGATGGGGTGGGAAGACTTGTATGCTCCTGTGACCCTGAGAGCTATGCCACTGGGAGTTTTCACTCCCGGTCAGGATCACCCAAGCAGATTGGTCAAAGAATAGGGACCAGATGAAAAGGAATCCACTGGTCTTCCAGATTGGGAGTTGAGTGATAGGCCAACAACCTATTGTTTAAAAAAAAAAAAAGTTGAGTTGTGGAAACACAACAAGGTAGCCATTCAGACAAACAACATGCCAAAATAATGGACTCTGTCTTGACAGAAATGACAAGGGAAGCCATCAGGAACCCAAGATTCTGACAGGTTCTTTATTGAAGGTAAAATGAACTAGGAAAGTAGGTTTCTGCAACACTTGAACAACAACCAAAGTAACGCAAACAACCAAACAGATAGACAAATATAATCTCAAAATCAGTGTTTAAGCAACTGTCAATGGTCTGGAGCTGACAAAAAACGCTTAAAAATTAAAATATAGCCATTATAAATTCAGGGAGGTAAGATCGGTGCCACTCAGAGGGTACAGCATTAATTATGACTTCCAATATTGACAGACATGGGTTGCCAAAATCAGAATGATGAAAGATAGGTAGAACTGTGCCTGGTATCAGGGATCATAATTGGTGGAACACTGTTCCTCTACAAATATATCCACAAGGTAATTTGGAATTCCCCAGCTGGAGTTACCAGGAACAAGACTGACTATCTGTGTTTTGGAATGAAATTTAGATCTACTCTCTAGGATGTCAGAGCATACAGAGGAGCTAGTATCTGAAGCGACTACAATTTGTGTGGCAACATTGAAGATCTAATTCTTCTGTACTTTCCTTCATCTTTCTCTCGCTCCTAATATATTTACAGAACCTCTTCTTACTGTTTTTTATGTCCCTTGCTAGGTATAACTCATTTTGTGCCTTAGCCTTTTTTATTTTGTTCCTACATGATTTTTTTTTTATTCATCCATAGCAATTTGTTCATGTTTCCACTTTTTGTAGGATTCCTTTTTGATATTCACATCATTAAAGAGCTCCTGATGGAACCATTTTGACTTCTTACTACCTTTTTATCTTTCCTTTGCATCGGGATAGTTTGCTGTTTTGTCTTTAATATTGTCTCTTTAATTGCCCTGCATTCTCATGAACTCCTTTTTCCCTTAGATTTGCTTACCGGGAGAGGTTGCCTACTAGTTGTCTTTAGAAACCATGTCTAGGAAATGTCTAACTTGTAGATACATATAGAAATCCCAAAAAGGGTTGTGTGCCCTGGAAAAAGTCTCCAAAGGTCAACTGTTCTTTGGCAGCCCACGTTTTTGAAATTAGTATCTTTCTAACCTAGAGGGACAGTTTATTCAGGAAGTCATCGAGAATTTTGGGATGGTACCAGGGCACTTGACTGCACTTTTCAAAGTGGTGCCTCGGACAGGACATTGTCTGATCTCTTGAGGCAGCAAAGTGTTGTAGCCATAAATCAGGCTAGAAAGAATAAAAGGAGAGTGATCTGCTGCATCACTGGTCTGCTGTGTGTGAGGTATTGTTTTGAATTTCTGTAAAATGTAGCCAGTTCCAAATGTGGAATTTAGAGCTGACCAGTGATAGAATTTCCAGGTCGGGAGGTTACTATCTTATTTTGTTTTCTGTCTTTGCAGCCTCAACCAGGCCAACTGATAATCTGTCTCTTCTCAGGCCATGTAAAATTACTACATATTTTCTCTCTAGTTCTCTTTTATACCCAGTAGGTAGGAGTACTGGAAAAACATCCATTTTTATCAAGTAGCATCAGCCCAACAAGACTATTCATTAGTTGAGATTCTGCATCTTTTATTTATTTATTCATTTTCTCCTTTCCAAACTAAAATGTCCTAGTCTCTGAGGTCATTTTGTATTGAACACTCCCTTCCCCAGTGCCTTACCTTTTTCTTTCTGCTCTCTGCTCCTGTGGAGTTGATGGCCAAAGCTGAGTGCTGGATTCCTGGTGAGGACACACCCTGATTTACAATAATGCCCTTATCAGGTTTCCCCTACTACTTTGTTCCTTGACATTGTTGCTTTTGTTACTGTTGCTGTGTGGTGAGCAGATGCCCTTCTGTGAACTGCTCACTGTGACCTCTCGCATTAGAGGTTGCCACCAGTTCGGAGCCCATTAGGGAGCATAAAGATTTAAAATTGTTCTTTACAATGTGAGCCACATTATCACCTGCCACCATGCTGTCCGTTTCCCTAGTGGTGTTGGTATTGGTATTGTACTCTGGCAGCTGCCAAGGCTGGCTTCATATAACTAGCTTTAAAATTATTGCTAGGCTGTGCAGAATGGGACCCTCTAACTCTCCTTGTTTAGCTGGTCCTCCTTCCTCCCAGCTCTCTGGATAACAGGACAACCCAAAGTGCATTGCCCCACATTCTCCTGCACTGTGTACATGGTTCTGTGTACACTCTCCCTTGCTGAGGAAGTATGGGATAGAAGCCCTGACTTTCCCAGAGTCCATTGATGAAAATCCAGTTAGGCACAGTCATGAGTGCATGGATTAACATGGTGACATGGTTGTCTTGTGAAAAAAGCTGCTGCATGGACACAACTGAACCATGTATGTTGTAACTGGGTCATTTGCGAGTGTCAGCCTTGTTACACAAACATAGATGTAGTTACAGTGTAGATGGTACCCAGCTGTTCTCTGTGCACTCAGTTGGTCTCACAGCCCCATTCACTCTTCCATGGGCTTCCTGCTTCTCATCTAATTAAAGAACTTATTATTATTTTTCATAGCTTGGCTACTTCTTCATATTTCCTCTTAGCTCCCCTCATTCTCCAGCTTGTAACTGACCTGCCAGAGTTTGCCCCAGTCTATTTGCCTTATTTGGCCTGGATTTCTTCCCTCCCCTCTCTTTTTGTATTTGTTGTTGGCCAAAATAAACTATTGTACCTGTGGATTTTTCCTTCCCTTTTTCCTTCCTTTTATTTGTTCTGGAGGATGGATCCCATCTGTGATTTTTAAGTTAGTCTTATGCAGCCTCCATGCTGATTCTGTGTTCTTTAAGTTCCTAGCATTTTCCTTTATCTTCACTCATGCAAAGTTTCCCTGCTTGAATTTCAGTGTCAGACTTGGCTGTCAGTCTGATCCTCTGGAGAGGATGTCGGAGCCAGTGCACATTATGGTCATTGTTGATGGCTCCACTGTCCTTCCTGCACCAACACCTGAAAATTATTCAGAACTATGTTTAGAGTAGTCTCTGATCTTGTCAGATCCAGAACAAGATGTTCCAAGAAACAGTCACCCATAGTATCAAGAAATTGTTTCTTCAGGCCACATCCTGAAGGGACCATTGATCAGTTGACCTCCTAAGTAGCTGAAGTTGCCCCTTATCACTCTTGTAGTACTTTGTTGCCCCTGTCTGATTTCTCTCCTCATCCTGATCTGCAGGTATGTCCTTCCTACTAGAATTAATTTCTTTTGACCTAGGGATTTTATCCACATGGATTCTGTCTGATGCTCCCCCTCTTGTTGGCAATCTCTCTCAAGGAGACTGTAGAATCCTGTGTGGGCAACACTGGTGGCTCCCCAGCCTCTGTGACCAAACCTAACTTTGCTCTGTCATTCATAGTCAGGATCTGCAATATCCCAACCGAGTCTTACTTGTGAGCTTCATGCACTGGTACGTATAGTTGTTCTTGTGCCTCTTTTCCTGCACTGCCTCCCTCCCCTGCAGCCTTCCTTGGGAACAACTAGTTACTGATTGATATTGGTGTCCCCAAAGCCCCTTATCTGCAGCTCTTTCCTTTCTACCCTAGGCTCCCTGGAATATGCATGATTACTGTTCAGGCAATGTGTTTAATCTGCTTGACGCGGCCACAGAGCTGGGGAGTGGGAGGTCCCATGGCATAGCTGGGCCTGTTCATCTACTTGATAGTGTAGCCCTCTGCAGACATCTGTCAGATGTGGTCGTGACTCTGCGCTCTTATGGGAGGACTCTCAAACGTTGGGAGATTTCATGTCCTTGCTGCTCTCCTGCTGGGACTTGAGTGTCCATCACCAATTACAATATGCAAGGAGTGTTAGAGCTGGGGAATGGTTCCTCTTCCTCAAATAACTTTGCCTGTTGTAGGGAACAGGAGAGTACAATAGCCTTGCTGGTGTTTGTGTGTGCTGGGAAGGGTGGGATGAGATGCAGTGCTTCTGCCACAGGCTCAAATTGCAGCGTCAGAGCAGAGACCTGGGGGAATTGGCTCCTCATTGCTCTGAGCAGTATATGTCTCTTCACCCCCTCAGTGGCACCAGAAAGATGTGGGTAGGGATCCTCATAACAGATTAGGTGAGCGGCCCTGGTACCTGTTGTTCCAGAGGTTTGGGAGTGAGGGCAGAAAGGGAGAGAGCTGCTGCTTCCCTTGGTTCATACCCTGTTGGGTTTTGGAGTAAGCTGTGCTTGCTCCCACTTGTGGGACTCCCTGGCTAAATCCCTGTAACAGCCTGTGTCTCGGTCTCTCTCTAGAGCGAGGAGCTGCTTGCCCTGCTATGATGCCAGGGCAGATTCCGGATCCATCCCTGACAGCTGGAGCTCTACCTGGGCTTGGCCCCTTGACAGGACTCCCGGGCACCACCTTGACGGTGGAAGAGCTGAAGTACGCTGACATCCGCAACATTGGGGCTATGATCTCACCACTGCATTTCTTGGAGGTCAAACTTGGGAAAAGACCCCAGCCTGTGAAAAGTGAGGTGAGTTCTGAGGGGAATTCCCCACGCCCTGCTTGCCTCCGGGGGGCTGCTCTAAAGGCACTGTAGACCGATGTCCTCTCTATCCATGGGTAATAGCAGGACAAGCTTTCCCCTCTCATGCTACCTCCGCCTCTTCCTTCCCCCTCCCCCCCAATGTCCATCCTCGGACAATTCCATTTTGATAGGCTGTTCAGTCACTGGTCTGTCTGCCAGGATGGCCCAAAAAGTTTTTAATGAGCTAAGCATGCTGAAAACTGGACTGAGATGACCCTCCTCCCCTTCATCTCCTGCCACTCTGGCCTGGGGTGGGTGTGAACCACTGACCCAGCAGCAAAAGGCTCCATATCCCAGTCCAGCCCTCATGATACATGAGTAAATTCAGACTCTGGCTCAGAGGAGAGAGGCCTCGGTCACCCACCCACTTTACAACTTGAGGAGCCAGTCAGGAACTGAAGCCATGTGGCCTTTTGTCTATTGAGCTGTTACGGTAAATCTTCTCATCTGCTGTAAGAATGAGCCTTTGGTCACATAAGGGTTGGCATTCGGGCTCCTTGCTCCCTGGATGGCTCCCTCCATGGCCTTAGGCACCTCTCTTAATCTCTTTGTGCCTCTGCTTTCTCATCTGTACAATGGTGGTCATGCTCTACTCCTCTCCCTGTGCCAGCGGGTTCTGTGCGACTACTCCATTAATGTCCATGACTCACTCAATAGCAGAGAGTCCTCTAGCCAGCTTTTGGATGCTCTTTGCATGTCTTGTTTACCGTGTCTGTGGTGGGAGTGGGGAGAGGAGATGCATTCTGCCCGGCTCTGCTCTAACATAGAGCAAGTACTGAAAGAGTTTCCTTAGAACTTTAAGTCAGCAAACATCATGCAACGAAAAAGGGGAAATCCAAATGGCACATGCCAGAACCCAGGTGCATTGCTGTAACATGTTCCTCAGCCGCACTAGTCCTAAAGGCAGCAAGTTGAGGATAGTAAATGAAGCTGTTCAAAGCAGAGGTTTTGCAGCTGCAGCCTGGGTAAGCCAAAACTGCGTATCCCAGGAGTGGCCAAAGAGCAGCCTACGCACTTGTTACAATGCAGTCCAAAGCTGCCTTCATCTCTAGGGGAGGTGCAACTCAGACCCTACAGACATCAGCATGCCTGGCTCCCCTGGCACTAGGATGAATAGACTGCTTCCTAAACCTTACTGAACGGAGCAGCCCTACCTGGGGTGTGTCTGTACTTCTGGAAAGCTCAGCATGGAGGTGGGAAGGCACTTGGATTGGCTGCACAGGGACGTTCAAAACAGTCACTGCTGGGCTCTGGAAATCTTCCCCTCCAAACCAGAGCAGGGATCTCCCCAGACTGAAGCCCTTCTCCTGAGGCCGCTATCTGTAGGGAAATTCATGTTAGTCGTAGTCTGCACTGTGAAGAAGGCAACTACAGCCTCCTCCTGAATTGGAGGGAATGGGAGGACCTTAACCATGAAATAAAACTCTTTAGCCCCTCTCCCCACAGGGAATCTCTTCTTCTCTCTTCTTCTCACCCCCCCCGCCCCGCCCACTGTGTCTTGTTTAACCCTTTAGCTACTTAAATTCTTTCCTGTATGATAACCCAATGCCCCCTCTAGAGCCTCCTATATATAGATTTCACTGAGCTTTAGAAACATGAATTAAGTCTCGACCCCTGGCAGAGAAGGCCAGTGCCAGTATCCCCATTTTATTAATGGGAAAACACGAGGCGCCCTCTTTTGTCAGGCCATGGCACAAGAAGTGGGCCTGCCTCAGTATCCCCTTGGAATCCACCCATGCAAAGGAATAGTGTCTCTGCAGCACATTGAAATCCTTTTAGTTATGTAAAATGCCACAGTCTGCAGATCCCTCACAGTAAAAACCGCTCCTCTCAAACCCCTCAAGGGTTACTCACAGCACCTCTTCAGTCCCATTCCTACATCACTCACCCTGACACAAGTCATTAACTGCTTTGTCCCAGCTCCTGTGGCCCCTGTTTGAGGTCCCCACTCTCCAGGCCTCCTACCTTAGCATCCCAAGACCCACATTTCTCCCACAAGCCTTCTCCTGGAGCCCCAAGACAGAATGCCGGTGGCATTCCATGTAGCTACCCCTGCTCTGGGATCAACCTCCCCCTTGTTTTGGGCTCCGCTTCTCCTAACCAGGATAGTTCTTCCCCTTCTTCACAGAGGCCTCCACATGAGCTCTTCTGTAACTCAGTTGGGGTTCTCCAGCTTTGGCCAGTCCTCACAATCAACCTCTTGCTCTTGCCAATGGCTCTCTCTCTACTAACTTTGCTCTCCTCTCCTATTGCTGCTCTCTGGATCTCCCTTTCCTCTTCAGGAGTCTCACCTGCCCTTCTCTCAGTGCACTCAGGCCTCTTGCCCTTCTAGGGCCCCGGTGCCTTCTTTTAAGTCCAATTTGAGTCAGCTGACCAGTCATAGGTGCACTTTTTTCCCTCTTAAAAGGGCTAGTGTCACCCTATGATAGGCAGAAAGACGGAAAGTGACTTGCCTGAGGCCACAGTATCTGTGAAGAAATCACAGCGAGACCCCAGGAGTCCCAACGCCCACTCTCTTGTTGTCCCTGCTAAGCCACATGCCCAGAGCTTCTGTAACCTGTCTAGGAGATGTGACCCTTCTCTGTACTGTGTTCTCTGAACTGTTAGGATGGATGGGGTAGTTTCTGTTTGACTGATCAGTGAGATGAGGACAGGGGAAGGATCAATCACTCCCTTTTCTGTGCCTGACCTGGCCAGAGCAGACCACAAAAATGTGTCAATCAGCTGAGAATCAGGGACAGCATGTATTGTCCCACCAATGGTATTGCTCCCTATTGCTGCCACAATTAACCATCTGCTTTGCAGCAAACATGGGGGAATGTTTTTGCATGTTAAAAAGCAAGTGGGTTGTGATGAGTGGGGAGTTGAGAGCACACGTCCTCTCTTCTCTGTGCTCTTTCTTGCACTCAGCAGGCTGCTTTTAATAGCTCCTCTCGGCTCGGAGACAAATCAGTAGCTGGTGGAAGCTATGCTAATGAGAGTGGAATGGTGATTACGCTGACCTCTAAAACGCTGCTTAATTTTGCACAGATTTGTTAGAGTTGCTTGTGCCCTTAACTCTGAAATTCTTACTCTTTCAAGAATCCAAAAGGAAGAATCTGGGGGCTACTTGAACTATTGGCCAAGTGAGGGGTCAAAAGCCTCTTTCCATTCACCTCCCTGCAAATGTTAGAAACACAGGAGTTTAACTGTGTGTAGAAAGACTTGGCAACCTTATTTACATTAACGTGTACTGTGAGATCTAAATCTGTTCTCCTTGCCTGACACCTTACACTGTCACTTGCACGTCTGCAAAGCGAGTGTAAGACATTCTGTCTGATTTGATGCCCCCTTTGCACAGAAGTGAATGACATGCAGAGCAGGGGAGAGTTGGCCCTTCTGTGGATATTTTAATGGAAAATGCTCTTATTGAAACTGGCCTTGTTTAATATTTTATTCCTAGACAAAATACTTCCCTAAACTGGAACTAGGAATGTAAGTGTATCAGTTATTTAAGGGGGGAAAAGCCTTGAAGAGAACTCTGTAACTGTCTGAAATGTTGGGAAGTCAATGTCTTGGTTACCCTTAAAACCCAAACATTAGAGATGCCCAGTGAATTTCATCCAGTCACCTTAACTCGGACCCATCCCTGTGACCATCCCGTCTCACGTGTGTGTCACATGGAGACATTTTGATTAAAGGGGTGTGGGCTTTATAAAGTTGGCAACTTGTATAGTTTCCCTAGGTAGGAGACCAGGAGCCCTGGAACGTGTGGGTTTGGTTTCATAGACATGTCTGTGGTACTCAATTGGTTAACCCAACATTGCACTGCTGGTGGATAAACTACCAAACATTCCCTCTAGTTCATAAGAGGTTCCTAATCCCAGTCACAGTAGCTACATGTCACTGCTGAGCTTCATAGAACAACAATGTTTAGAACACCCTGTACTTGTAGGGAATTGTCCTTAGTATGGTCCATTTTGGCTTAGAGATGTACAAATCTGTCTTGTCAATGACTGCAGTTGGCTATAGAGAAGGCAGGAGTAGTTTGCTGAAGTGATGACAAGACATGCCACTGCAGCATTTAAACAGAAACCATGTGACTTGACCATGCACAAGTGAGAGGCAGTTTAGTTTGATAACTTCTCAGAGTCCCTGATGTGATGGAGATGGGGAATATATGTGGCTAAGGGCATGTCTACTCTTCAGTCATGGGGGTGATTGCAGCACATGTAGACCTACTTGAGCTAGGTTTGATCTACCTAGCTCAGGTACCAATACCAGTAAAGCCATGGCAGCATGGGCTTCAGCTTGGGCTATACAAGCCTGCCAAGGAGCATGGGTACTTACTTGGGCAGCTAGTCCCTGGTGCTGTGGCTTCACTGCTATTGGTACCCAAGCTAGGTAGATTAAAGCATAGCTTGTGTATGTTTACATGTGCTGCATTCACACCTCCAGCTGGAGTGTAGACCGATCTTAAGACTGGTTCCTGGTTTTCGTTGTGCTGCAGGCATTGGCACAGAGGCAATTAAGGCTGCTTGAGTGACTTTCTCTTGCAGTTCCAGATCCCTGATTTTAAAGTGTAACCTGAATGTTGAATTTCCAGGCATTGTAAGGCTTGTAATTTTCTCAAAAGATACAATGTTTGCTTAAAGGTAAAAGGCCCACTTCCTCAAAAGGTATTTAGGCACCTGCTTCCATTTATTTCAATGGGAGTTAGGCAGCTAAATATCTTTGAGGATTTGAGTCAGCATCCTTAAGTAATAGATGAACTGTACCATAACAAAGGGCTTGGGGTGGGTTTTTTGATGGGTTACTGCCCTAGGTTTTTGAAGTAATGCCCCTGATACTTTGATGGTGGCTTTCTGACTGTGTGATGTAGGGTTAACACAGCAAGTTTGAGTCAGTTAGCATAGGACAATGGAGTCATGAAGTAAAATGCAGAAACGTATGTCTTTGCTCAATGCTACAATGGGATCTGGGTATCTTGCTGCACCCTCCCTATACACCACACTCTGCACTAGGGCCTTTTATTACTCACTATGCTCCAAGCAGGACTGGCTCTAGGTTTTTTTGCTGCCCCAAGCAAAAAAACAAAACAAAACAAAAAACACCCACCTCCAAGAGCGCAACTGCCGAAGCGCAAAAAAAAAGCCGGAATGCCACCCCTGGAATTGTGCCGCCCCAAGCACGTGCTTGGTTTGCTGGTGCCTAGAGCCAGTCCTGGCTCCAAGGAAACAGGTCTGAGCACTCTGAGCCCAGAATGCTGAACATGTTGCATGAGCAGGAAATGAATGTAACCAATCAGGGAATGGCTCATTCAGGTCTTCAAGGCTCTCTTGGGCCTGGCTAGTTGTTTGATACTCCTGGAATGAGAGCACTCCCTTCAGCTGCCCCCAGCCCTTACTAACTGTCAGTGTAGACTTCACACATCTACAGCTGTAGACTGAACTGTCTCTTGCACTGAGATCCCTGCTTAGAACACTCTGATCTGATCAAGCCACCCATGTGCTTTGAATAGCCACTAAAGAAAATACTTTCCTTGCAATACTGTATCTGCCTGTTACAGTATCAGCTCAGGGTTAGTTAACATGAGATAGGGAAGAGAGTAGAAGTCTCTCCCATTTGCTGCCCCCCCCCCCCCCAACAGGGCTGCACTGGACTAATCGCAGAGCTAAGGTCTGTGCGTGTGGCTGGGCTGAGTGTAGCAGGGGAACTTGGCAGCATGAGGAGAGGCCCCCTCTCTGGGGGGCTGTTCTTGCTCTCAGCCATGGGAAGGTCAGCGTTGCTCCTAGCACATGAGACCACTACTATACTCCCACACATCCGTGTTAGGGGCAGGGGAATCTCTGTTGTTGCACAAGACCCTTCTCTTCATGGATTACACATTTCTGTGGTGAAATTAGTTTGTCTCACTCTAGAGTCCACATTACAGAAACGGAGTAATTTATCACAAGTGGGAGTGATCAGCAATCTGTGCTCCAAAGAGCCCAGAACTGGACCTAGCAGGTGGAGTTGCAGGGCAGGACTGAGCTGCACTGATAGCAGCGTGCGAGGCAGGGAAGGGGAGGACAGACCAAAATAGCCAGGGATACTGCAGATCGGGACTGAGGAGAATCAGCTGAGGTGTGGGGGGAGGCTTGCACAGCCACTGCTGCCAGTGAGACCTAGCGAGGGGGCTATTGCCAGCTGCATCACTCCCCAGTCTGGCTGTTCTAATGCGGGGCCTGTGTCCTGTTCCAGCTGGATGAGGAAGAGGAGAGGAGGAAAAGGCGCCGTGAGAAAAACAAAGTAGCAGCAGCTCGATGTCGCAACAAGAAGAAGGAGAGGACAGAATTCCTGCAGCGGGTGAGTGCCCCGTGCCCTTTCCCCAGCAGGCTTTGTATAGCCTCCCTCTCCAGCTATGCTTCACTGCAGTAGGCACCCCTCTGTCCTCTCCAAGTGGGGAGGACAAAGGTGGATTGTACACCCACTCCCAAGGCTATTAAAGTCTCTTCAGCAATTGACCAGAGGGGCTGTTCATTCTGCTGAATCTCACTTCTTGCCCAACTGCAAGGTTCAAAGAGTTCCCTCCTCCAGTCAGTCACCTCCTCTCCCTGCATCTGGGAGCCCAGCAGCTGCCCACAGATCCTGAGGCATGGTGCCTGGCAGATGCAATCTCTCATTTGGCAGTTGCATGGGAGGACATAAGGCCACTCTCCCATTTTTCCCCGGCTGGTCCTGATGGGTAAATGGACCGTGACCTCATGTGTCTGTTACCAGCTAGAGCAGGTAGCTAGCTGAACCCACTCTTGTAGCATGGGGTGTGCTGGGGCAGGAAGGCATCTGACACATTTACCTCAGGTATGTGAGCTGAATTCCATGTCCTAGCACTGTGTGCAGCCCTGCACAGAGTGCATATCTCACCCAAATAACCACAAGGGGCCACAAACCCAACCAGTGCAACACAAACAGGTGCCCAGAGGATACACAGTGAGTACCAGGATAGACTCTAGAGACTTGTCAGCCCCTGACATGCAGTAGTAGAATGCCCATGGGCTGGTCACTTCTCCCAAAGCCTGGAGATTCCTAGTCTGTACACTAAAGACACATGAAACTCTCTCTCCCAGAGTGATTCCCATACAGTACACACATGTACTCTTCCTCCTACAGTGCATGGTGCCACCCCAAAGATATCTCTCTCACTCACACACACCATTGCACTCCCACCCCCTCCACAGGGATGCACCTCACATTCCCACACAGTCATGTGCAGCGAGGGGCACCTCTTGGACATGGGGCTCTTGGACACAAGAATCTTTTTAAAGCAAATTCTCTCAATAAGACAAGCCAGTAAAATATGAACCATAAAAAGATCAGAAATCCTTGTTGCTGCTTTTCTCCCTGAGAAGCTGGGTCTCCCTTAGTTACTGGTTCCTCTTTACTTCAGGGCAGAAAAATACTTCTAGTGCAATACATCTTTTCTGTAGTGTTCAGTTCAGTTTTATTAGATTGCATATGACGTGTCTTTTGTGAACATGAGAAAAACATACACAATCTAAAACAGCAACATCCCTATAATACATTCAAATGTCATTCAGAACTCTCTTCTCGGCACAGTGCTAAAAGGCCAAAAATTGCCACTGATTTAATTACTACTGGGGATTGAGAAAATACTAAAAACCATTGTCCTTTGAGGTGGTGGTAAAGAATTTATTTT